CACGACTCACCTTTGCCACACTGCTGGAAATACCGTATGCGAAAACCTATAAAAAAGTGCTTTTGGATTCAAAAAAACTATGTCGGCAAAAAATGCCGCCTGCTCTATGAGGAAATGCCCACTGTGCGAAAACAGCTGAATTCGACAGTGTTATTTTTCTTACAGACTCTGCTACTACTTGCTCTATAGAAAGTACTCAAAAACTTTTTAAAAGGATATATCAAGCCAATCACGACTCGTAGCTGGTCACCATTACGAAGAAAAACTTAGTCGTGGTTAGGACAGCCGTCAAAAATAATGAAATGCGTAGAACATAGACTTGGTACGTAGCCATACGACGATGACTCATACAATCAAAAGCCATTTGGTTACTCACAAATGCATTTGAACTTAAAAATAGAAACCGATTTTTACGGAACCTTTTCTAGTATATATTATAGCTGATATCCAAACCTTTTAGAATATATATTCAGAGTTCTCTAACCACAAGCCGTCACTGAGATGTCAGTGTTTTTGAAAAAATCGATCTTACATAAGTAAACGTGGTTAAGGAGCCATTTTCAGAACCTGTAGACCATCCCATCATTTTATATATAAGATATTTTGTGTCCCTTGCAAACAAGAATGATAATTATTTTATTCTACAAGACTATTTTCAAAAATATCTGGTCCCACGAGATCGAGACCATCCTGCGCGACTGGGACCGTCCCGCAGTCCTCTATAAAGTAGTAGAAAAGGAAAGGATCGAAAAGGTTAGAGTATGGATACATATGCGTAGAGTGAGGGTACCTTCGTGTAAAGGTGTTTCTTTTCACAATGTTGCAACACGTGTACGTTAAGAAGAATGTATGCAAATAAGAACGAAGCGAGTAAAAAAAATGACAAATAGTAACAGAACATGATCAAGTATGCTTAGAGCTAATAGTATCGAACGTAAAACCACAAAGGCCAAGTTTTATATGAATCGAAGAATGAGAAATGTCGAAAGTGAGAAATACCCTAATGCAAAAGATAATTAACATATTATAGCAACGTATTATATATGATAAGATATTAACATATAACAGCTATTTCCACACAGATTCTCGCCCATTAAGTGATTTAATGTTATGTTTTTTCAAGTGTTAGTGTGTATATGTATGATTGATTATTCACAGCTTGGTGAATCAGTTATAATTTCGCGCTGTCTTTCGGAAAAGGATTTGAGAAACATGGTGAATTCCTGGTCACAAAGGTCATTTTTAGATCCCCGACTGCTAAGACACAGAGGTCGACGAAAGCTCCGCTTTTATTTTTACAAAAAACTTAAAATGTTTCTAAGTTTTTTCGAGGATACAGATCAGCACATTGTCTATGTAATTAAATTTCAAGCTTATAAGTTTGAAGGTCATTGTCTAACAGAGCTCGCGGAAGTTAAATTAAAAGATAGAAATAGTGAAATTTTGACGAATCTTGCTCTTTGAGCGGGTGACATAGAAAAAGATAAATAGGCTGATAAAATATGGATTCATCGCTTAAGACGAACGCTCAGTAATCTGGAACCTGTGTCATCCAATTGTGGAAAAACGGTAAAGACCATAACCGGAGTTTTTATGGATAACTCTGTTTTTCTCCGTCTTCCTAACATTGAATACGGTTACCGATTCTACTTCCGTTTATTTGTTGTTGGGGCTGCTTATTGGTTATCATATAATTCCTTTCTTTTTGCAGTTTTTGAAATCTATATTTATTTTAATGTTATGTTTTTTCAAGTATTATTGTGTATATGTATGATTGATTCACAGATTCACAGATTTTTCTATTTATTCGATTTTTTTCTCATTTTAAACATGCGCTTGATCGAAGAAAGTGAACAAAAACACTTTAAAAATGTTTCAATATAGATTTCGAAAGAAATAGTATAAAGAACCTGAAGCACCCCATTCGTGCTCGTTTAAGCCCAGTCAGGTCGTTGAACACCTATTCCTCTATATTCCCAATGCCATGGTTCTGATTTAACTGTGCGTACAAACCCATAATTATGCCCATTTTCATATAACCATTGATAAACATCCGAAGTCTGACATTCTGCGGGTGGCTTTTCATCAGTTTGTTTCCCACAATTTGTGTTTAGGTCTAAAGCAATCCCCGTTCCATGATTCGATGTACCAGGTACAGCTGCAAAATTCCCGTCATTACATTGCTGCGTTATGTAACAATCATAAAAATATTGTTGACGTGCTAGTACGCGAAAACCACTCGAAATTTTGATTGCTACGCCATCTCGTAATGCAGCGGTACGAATCTTGTCATATGAACAGGCTGTTGTTATTGTCATTGTATTGTCTGATTCATATGGTGATAATGAGTACGAAGCTGGATCTGATAAGTGTTCTTGAAGGATTTTAACAACAGAATATTCGACATCATCGTTGCCTTTCATTAAGGTAATTGGTAAACCTGTATAGGCACCACATGAATCACATGTACTAGCTGCAGTATACGCAGTTAGTAGCAAAGAGAAAAAAAGTAGAAAAGAGTGTGGATTTTTCATGTCTTCTGTTTCTTAATGGTTTGAATTCAATACTACGATAAGTTCAGTTTGACGAATCATCATTAAAGACGCACTGATAAGTAAATGTATTATATTTTACCCTTTGGCTGTTCTACAGTCTAAAGTCATATTTTTCTTCTTTTCCTTTTGTTGTTGACATACGACAAGAAAAAGAAATGGATTACGAAAATAGAGAAAGATACCTTGTTGATTATTTTTTTTTAAACACTTACATAATACAAAGTGTGACTATCACGTCATAAAAAAGGTTGAAAAGCATTTCGCAACTCGAAGAATATATTCTCCGTTTTTGGGAAATTTAACAAACGAAAATCCTAACTTACGAGATTCTGTAATCGATTAAATTTATATACTGTTTAGTTGTTCGGCAGTTGCATCTAAGAGAAGCGTGCGATTCAAAAAGTCAGCAAAATTTATTTTTCATTTTTTTAACATCGTTTGTAAGCCGTTTTAACCAGTTTGTTGTATATCTGAAGTCATTTTTTACTTTCTCTGGTAGTTTATTTATTCAATCCAAACGTTTCGATGTTTTATACTCACCCACCATTAATCCTAAATCACTAAACAGTGCACTTTCAATTCCACTCTACGTTTTCTCTATCTTTCTCGGAGACTTATAGTGTCTTTTCTATACGCGTCGACTCGTCCTCTCTAACTATCGAGGCGGATTTTCCTCTTTTACACTTTCGCTGATATAGGCGGATTTCGCAAGGGGGAGAAACACACTCCTCCGCTCCAATCACTCCGCTGTGTAAAGCACACTCCACCGCACTCGATAAAATAGTTCAGAGTGGCGGAGTGTGTTTTTCTCTTCTTAGAAGAAAGTAGTGATATTTCTCTCACTGAAGATGCTCGATCGATCTAAAACAATTTAGTCGTGTTTCTCCTTATATCAGTGTAGCCATTCTAGCTATGGAGGATGTCGTATATTTCATAAGCAAGTGAACAAAAAACTTTTCTTTTTTAACTCCGTCTACTCATTTCGAAATTAGTAATACTACTCGAACTTTATTTGATGTGTAGAAAATAATCTTTCAGAAAATCCTATACACATAGGTAATCACAAAAAGCCAGAGACTTGTAAAAAAAGTACCACATGTACGGAATAGAAGAAAACATCCGTTTCAAGAGAAGTAAAAGACACAAAAAACAAAACAAAAAGAAAATCAAACTACTGTGCTAGAAGTGACCATGTTCAAAGCAGTAAGACAGATATCAAAGATTACTCAAATGTGCAGATGGATTTGCAGTGATCTTTTGAAAGAAGTGACTGCCCTTGCGATTACTACTTGATCTGGCAAAGAGTTCCACTCGACTGCTGTTCGATAAAAAAATGAAGAGGCTACATGTTCTTTGGAAACTGGCGGAGTTTCAACCTGCATACTATTCTGTCGATCAACGTTAAATCGATCCGATCTCCGATCAGTTACCGGTTTTATCAAAGGAGAAGTGAAACTGGAGAGAGGAGAAATAGCATTTTTTACTTTAAAAAAATGTTGCAGCGTAAAATATTTTCTCCTTATCCTTAAATCTGGAAGTTTCAGTTTACTAACCAAAGATGTTGCAGATCCATCGAATTTCTTAGACATCATTCGTGCCGCTACTCTAGTGACTTTTTCAAGCTCACCTCCATACCATTTACTATCATAGACAATGCTACTATAGTTCAGTTTACTTAGAATACTTTATTTAAAAATCGCTAACCGAATCATCACTGGTGCTTCTCTAAAAGTTCTAAACATTGTTCCCAGACGCCTTTTGCATGCATGAGATACATCTTTAATATGCTCTCCCCATGATAGATCTGAGCTTAGCCGTACTCCAAGAAGCACTACTGACGTTTCACGCTTAGTCACAGTTTCATTGATAGTAAAATCAAAACTAATTGCTACTTACTGTTCGCGGTTTGTGAAGTATATCCACCTACACTTTGAGTAGTTTAATGTCATGAGATTTAATTGGCACCATCCCTCTATTTTATCTAGGAAAGACTGGCAGTCCGACGGAGAGCACAGAACGCTCATTGGCCATAACAACGAGCAGTCGTCGGTAAAAAGAATGGATAAAGTTGGCAACGCTGTCACCAGTGAAAGATCGTTTATAAAGATCAGGAACAGTAGCGGCCCCAAAATAGAGCCTTGTGCGACTCCAGAAGGAACCCCTACTTTTTCTGAAAGCGATCCGCCTATCCGGACTCTTTGCCTCTGATCTGACAAATAACTCTCAAACCATTTATATGGTGCTCCTTTCACACCCAACGAAGAAAGCTTCTTAACCCTTTGGGGACCGGCTTAATTTTGAAAGAAATTAAGCTTTTTTATTTTTATTTTTACATTCTAAAACACATGAAATGAGTTTATATCTATTTAAAAACGGTTTAAAGTGTGATATTTTGGGTAATAGTAAATTGTTCAATTGTTGGGATAAAACTACCCTCTTTCCATTTCCTCTCTGATGGCGGCATTTTTCTTTTCGGTGGTGGAGAATTATGTTCATCCGATGAGTTGGAAATATTTGAAGAAAGCATAGTTACGTCGTCTGGTTCTTCAGAATCATCAGTAGATTCATAGTTTTCTTCGATATCATCTTCACTTGATTCACTTGCAGATTCAGCGTTTTGTAAAATTTCTGAAATTTCGTGATCTGACGAATTTTTGCGACGTGCCATTTTTCAGTGAGATCAAAAGTAAAATTTTGTGAAGTTGATCCTTTCGAAAGTACTTATTGCATCTATTGATAATAGCCAAAGATAGTTGTATCCGATAAACACAATTCATTTATTATGAAAAGTGAAAGACTATATATAGGTTTTGGACAAGATCAACGAGAACAGAATAGAAAGATCCATATGACGTAATAGAAGAGAATCGAACAATACATATGACTTAAAGGAAGAACATGTGACGTCATCGAAGAAGATAGAAGATGAAAAAGTACATACGAGGTAAGGAAAGAATACATGACGTAATTTTATAAAAAAAAACGTCAAAACGCACATATGCGTGAGCGGTCCCCAAAGGGTTAAGCAAGATTTGGTGAGGAACACGATCGAAAGCTTTCTCAAAATCAAATAAGACCATGATGGAATCAGTTCTACTTTCTACATTTTTATAAACGTTATGAGTTAAAAAGAGAAGAGCGTCTGTTGTGGAATAATTTTTGCGGAAACCGAATTGAAAATTTGAAAAAAAGTGATGTTTATTTAGGTATGGTATCAGCTGATCGTAAATGAAACGTTCGAGCAGTTTACCACGGATAGAAAGTAATGATACTGGTCGGTATTTATCAATTAACGCCTTTGGGCCTTTCTTATGGATTGGAATAATATCAGCTAAGTTCCATGCCGAGGGATGAGCACCATTACGGATAAAGAGAGTAAAGATATGATAAATGGCATCAAGAAGCTCGAGGCAACATTCCTTAAGAAACTTCACGGTAACACCATCCGGTCCCGCAGCGATATCATTTCTCAGCTCACTTACTGCCTTAAATATCTGATTTTCTGAGGGCGGAATTAGTGTAAAAACGTCATTTGTTTCTATTTTTGGTTTAACCGTTGATCCTTGTTTTGGCACAAAACCTTTTGAAAAATACTCATTGAAAAGCTCAGCTTTTTCATTGTTTGAAGAAGCGTTTCTATTTTCAAAAAACATATTCGCCGATAACTCATTACCACCGTCATTAGCTCGAGAAATACCTTTCCAAAATGCCTGGGATGACTTGCATTCTGCGGCTAACTTACAAAAATATTCTCGCTTACATCTTCTGAATCCTCAGTTGCCTTATTCCTTAACGAGTGTAATTTTATAACGTTAAAAACAGCTGGATTTTGCTTAACCTTCAAAAACTGAATTGAAACTGAAACACCTTAATCTGTACTAATGCTTACTCGTGCGGAAAAAGAGGATTTGTTTTTTCTTTCTAACTTTTACGGGAACAAATTTATTTACACCGTTGTTTACTGCGTTTTGAAAAAACTTAAGAGTTTCGTGTACGTTATCCTGATCTGTAACATCCTTGCTACACAAGCGCAAAGATTCTTTTAAGCCTTCCCAATCACAGTCTTGGAAATCTCGCACCGTATCGTGATTTTTGCTTCCCAAAATGGAGATAGATGGAAATTTGGAAAGTAGATTTTCATGATAAAACTTTCCTAGTACATCAAACAATCGGAAATCTGGTGGTAGCCAAGCAGAAGGATAAAAAATGTTATCTGAAGATGTTCCCTTTCGTGTAGTAGAGCCAGTTGCTGACAAAGAAAGATGGAAAAGTACTCACATAAATCTAACCGAGTATTTTAAACGAGTATTTTTATTAGTTAATAACCAACACGCTGTTTGTTTATGAAGAAAGGACGGGAAACGGTTTCTGTAAGAAAATGGCTTAATATGACGTTGAACGAAAATGATGGAAAATACTTTGTCACTTCCCAACATTGCACAAGCTCAAAAACTGTTCCTAGTCTCCTTGAAAATAAACTTTCTTCCCATGTTTTGTCACTATTTAAACAATAGTCACTCGCTTTATTCCTCAAAGTTTCCATATGATTTCAGAATCATTTGACAAGAACGTATATACAAACAAATAGAGAATCCTCTATGCTACGCAGTGAGCTATAAATAAGCTTTCTGGAACTATGTCTATATAAGACAATTGTCAAAATACTAGAGAAATATTGTCGTTTTCATCTGCATTACTGGACAAAATTATAGAAACGATGTGTTTTATGTATTTCTCCTAAACATAAAATCTTAAAAAAGCTTTAAATAGTCGAAAGAATTTCCAAGCTGACGTGGCGTATGTGAAGGTTCTATCAAAATTTCTAAAACCAGGCTCTCTGAAAAATCAAAATATCAGAAAACTAAGTCCCGGAATGTGGCTAATAAATTCTTTATAAATAATGCAGTCGTGTAGAGGACATTTTTGAACAAAACGTCGCGTTATTAATTTATCTCTGTTATAAATTCACCGTCATATTAGCCTGATGATGATACTGTGAAGTATCCAAAGCTCATTTTTTGTGAAAATGATTTTACAAAAATGTTTTTCAATTATATTAAATATATTTAGTTTTATAAGAAACGTAAAAAAGTCAAAGAATGTCAATATATAAAAAGTAATCCGGTACTAAGCAGATGCATAGAACAAAAAATCAAAAAATCAAAAATAAATTATTTTCTGTAAATGCATGAGTGAAAAACGTTGGTTTTTTGAAATTGCTACTCCCGGCACTTTAAAATTATTTCGAATTAGCCGTCGGACAGAATATCGCTTAAAACCCTTAAGTACTGAAATTTATCAAAATGCGTTCCAGAGATGTAACTGGCCGATCCGGTCAGAAATTTCTGACCGGTCGGTTGGCCTGTCCATCGAAAGAAAATTTATCTGACCGGCCGATCGAGAAAAAAATTTTTATTCGTTTGAAAAATCAGTATTTTGTTGAAAACGATTTACTGGTCTAAGTAAAACAAACGTTTTCATCTTTCAGATTAAGAAAGTTAGTTTGATTTTCCCCTTTTATCAACGGTCTTCGATAGCAGGACTGGTAATCTCTACTATGTGTATATTCCGTTCGTATTTCTTTCTTTTTTGATGTTTGTTGCACTACTATCGGTGCCAAAATAGACGGCTGGTGATTATTTTTTTTAGCTAAATAGGTTCAGTTTATAAGGATTTTCTTCAACAAGTTAACTGATTTTATTTCCCTCTGGATTTTCTGTTATTAAAATTGTGAGTTTTTTACGTATATCGGCAATGGAAGTACATTTTATTTGCTTCACGGTTCTGAATAAGACGCTGCATTACAAATCAAGCAAACTCTTAATAAATTGTGTAAAAAAAACATTATAATCGAAGTCAAGTTCTTTCAACTATCTGACGATCTGTTGGTAAACCTGGACCATTTTTTGCGTGACACGACATTACCGCGAAGATTCGTTTATTGGAAAAGAAGAATAAATGAGCCTGGTTTTGTATTTTATATATTATGTCGCGGGAGGTGGGGAAGGTGGGTCGTCGTTTTCTATTTTCGCGGTAACGTCGTTTGGGGTACTGTCGTTCGCGGTACTGTCGCTGTATTATTTTTTGAGAAAAGAATTTTTAGAAGTTCTAGGTGCAGTGTAATTCTAGCTTTACACTACTTATATTTCCCAGAAAAAGCCGACTAAACAAAGAAAAAAGTTACAAGACTGCTGAACAAACACATTTCATTCACGTTCTTCTACTTTTCTTCTTCTTAACTCCGGAAACGTACGGTAACGAAACGTCCGTTAGTCTTTTAACACTGACGTTTAAGAGAGACTTCACCAGTGGATCGAGTATCTTGCCAAAGAGCAGTGACGAGTGAAAAATTGACATATACTTTTCATTTCATATTCGGATTCCACCATTAAAACGGGGATTATGAAAAATAATAAAAACTTTCGGATTTATTTTGGCTGAGTTATAGAATTTACAAAATGAGCACCATCGTCGATTTGCGAAAAGTAGCCACCTCTGATATTTTGACTATAATTCCGTTATTATTTGTCCGTCCTGTTCGAGCAACATCTCATTCGAAAGCCTGATAAAAAGTAAACGAAATCACATAGTTCCTAATTTTTCTGAAGTAGGAAGTGACAGTTTAAAACCCACATCAATTGGCGAATTGGGATTTTCAAGGATTAAAATTTTCGAGAAAATGGCACCTTCAATCCTGCAAACAGAATTTAGCTAAGAATTCGAAGGACACATGTGCAAGAGAATTCAACTTTCCACAACTGAGTGCAAAATTTTTATTTTAAAAGTGATAAAAACGTTCCAAAACTTGAAAATAAGATGTCCGACCAACCGAGAGTTTTCAGTTTTTTGAGATTTTAGTCATCGAAACTTCACTTAAAAACAAAAATAAGGTAATAGTTGGAATCAGTGTCAAAAACTGCATCAGATGATGGGCGTTCGAAAACTTTCAGAGAAATGAAAAATTTTGTCAATTTTTCGATCTTTTATGCTTCCGAGCAAATTTTGAAAAAATTTTATTTAATTATAATGTGAAATAAAAAGTATATGTCAATTTTTCATTCGTGACTTGATTTCTTGATGGGCTGTCGAATCGTCTGTTAAGTACATAAATTCTAGCATTTTTTTTCTGAGCAAATGTACCATTTCAGCAGCTTAGGCGTGTTTTCATTGTATAGGGCGGCGAAAGCGAAGCCAAAAAATATCTGAAACTTCTGTAATTTGAGATTTTTGGAGAAAAAGCCATAAGAAAAAATCATAACGAACTAAGGAAATGCACAATCAATCAATCAATCAATCAGATTTATTTTCTCACAGATGTGAAAGACAGTGGAGATAGACAAAAAGTTTTAACTAGTGTAACTTTGACGTAGTCTAACTGAATATAAGATGATCAATCATTTCAATGCACTTAAAACGGTTTTGTACTGCACCCTGTCCTCTACGAAACCTAAAAGGGTTTAGAAATGGTTGCACTTCTCTATACACTTTTAAGTTTCGTAATAAACCTTTTTTTTTAGTGAGTGCAACAATCCTAAGCCAGGGCTCGCAGATCAGCAGCGAACATGCTCGGTAATAAACCGTTTAGTGTCGATCAGTGAGCCCTAGCTTGAGACTGTTGCATGGCTAGTCTAAGCTAAAGACAAATGGGATGAAATTGAAGTTTTGAAC